AAGCAAAAGTACTCGCATGTAGTTACAACTTGTCTTTCTTATTTGTAACGGAGAGATCATACTGCCTGTGTGCATTTTTATTTACTAAACTGTGAATACTTTGTAAGACTTACAATTTATCTTAGCGACTTAGTGGAGGAGTGGTCCTGAGTGTTTCGACATCACCAGTTGGGCCGTCCTGTTGATGACTTGGGCGTTAAGCTTTGGTAAGCTTAGCTCTCTATTGTGCCAAAAAATGCTTTTACTCTTTAAAATATTTTTTTAATGCTATTCGTTAAGGTATAAGTCTTTCATCAACCTTTTGCAACCACGGGGCGCATCTTGTTCATAACACAACTTCAAAACTTCAACAAGTCATAAATTGATATGAGAATTCAATTTCCGAGAGTGCAATAAAAAGTTAATCGCAGAACGAGTCCGCCAAGGCCCCATGCGCCCCGCTGTCCCATCCGTGGGGTTAATATTGAAATTTGTACACAGTGTAAACATTTGTCAATGCCAGTCGTATTTGAGTCCGCTGCAGAGATTGGAGATACAGAATCCAATCGAAAACAAACCCTTGTCGCTTCAGCCATAACGTGGTAGGAGGCCTCGAATTAAATTCTCCAATTCATCTACAAGCGAATATAGCACTAATGCCATTAATCATAAGGGTGGTAGCGATGAATAGGTTTGCGGGATGTTCGAATGCAGTTTGCGATCGCCCGCTGAGCTCTGTCGGTGGAATCACAACAAATCATTTACGGAATCCACCTACGGTAATGAGAAATGCATCGCACAAACGTAGTTTTTACGCACACGAAGAGGATAAAACCGATAATGCGTTAATTGAAAACATACACATGAAATAAATTAAACATGACCTTGCTCGGTTTGAAAAAGCGATTACTATAAGCATTTATAACAAGCTCGAAGTTAAGGATCGTGAGAAATAACATTACACAGACAGTTATGGTACAAGCAAGGAGGGATTCTAAGAATCAGTATATTATAAAAAAATAACGTGACTAGCTGTGCCAGCGACTTCGTCCGTGTAGAATAGTAGAATCAAAATTTGTTGCTACTACCTTCTAAACTTTATAAATTATAGCTGTTACCCACGACGTCTACGTCCCGTCGTATTTGCAAGTTAATCATGTCAGTAAGACGTCCGGCCATTTTATTAGATTATATAAAGAAGAAAATTTATTGATACATAGTTTTTGGGTATCTTGAACCGTTTTCGCAGCCCACGCCACGGAAAACTTCAAAGTGAATACTATTCTCCGCTTATTTCCTATTTCCAACTGTTTCTTACCTACTTTAGTCGCAGCGTGATGTTTTATAGTCATTCTCAATAAATGGTCCAATTAAAACAAAAATATTTTTTCAATTCGAGCCAGTAGTTCCTCACATTAGTGGGTTCAAACAAACAAATTCTTCACCTTTATAATACTAGTATAGAATGAGTTACTAACGCTTAGTCAAATATTTACTTAATCTGCATCAAGATCTCTTTATAACAAAAAAAGATAAAAGCAGAACGGAGACAGTAAATTCAAAATGGTACCTACTGATTCTAAATTACCCGTAAACAGAAAACAAAGTTGCAATATTAGTGAGTCAACACGATACCTACCCGGGGTTAACCTACGTCGCATTATATCACGACTGAACATAACTCTTTATGGATATTAGTGCGCCGGCCATTTCAGTTTCCGTTCGAGATGTGCCGTACGCATATTTATATCATTACTTTACTTTATCACATCGTTACTTAAACGAACGGCGAACAAACACTCACTACGAAATCATTAAAATATTATTTATTCGAGACGCAATGATGAGTAATGACGCTGGGGAATATGGTAATGGGTTTCACAAGGGAATAGATGCGCCCCGCGACGTTACCTACGGCTCATTAGCGTGCCAAACTATCTATTACATGAATGAATTTTAAGATCGGACAAAACCCATTTCAGTCGCTTTTCAATTCCATTGCAATAACAGTCTTCAATACTGTCTGTAGTTTACGCGAGTAGTACACATTTAAATAAAACACTTTAACGATTCAAAACGGCTGCTGTAAAGCATCCGAAACGTCGGGCCGTAGTTAAAAATAATTCTCAAATAAGTGTACATAATATATATCGCGTTTTTAACCGTTAAAGTGTTTTACTTAAATAACAGTCTTTTTTAAATATTGTTACCGGAAAAAAGAAAATTGTTTTACTAAAGCATAGGGACTTAAACTCTCAAACTAAATGCGTTTGTGAACTCTTTGTAAAATTGACATGCAAATTCGCAAGTAAAGAAAGCATTAGAAAAAATATCTTTGTTTTAATATCTTCTAGTACTGTCGTTCAACCAAACAAACCTATAATTTGACTATAGATTTAACAATCAGACGTAATGACGAATAATGACGCTTCGGAATATGGTAATAGCAAAGATTTACAAGTGATTAACGGTCAAACGGAAAGATTAAACATTAGCAATTCAAACAAGACGACCGAAGAGCGAAACGCCCCAACTATAGAAGTGAATGTTTAGGTAACAAAAGATGAAGCGACTATAAAATTTCACCGTTTCCCCTTTGTGTGAGCAATTAGGCTAATGAAGGGGCCGAGTTACAGTGCAAATGAATAGTCCTTTCCTAGAGTTCTTCATTCACGGGCTCACCTTTCATGTGGGTAATTTACTGATGCCCGTATAGCTTTACTTGAATTAGCGGTGAATCCAACTCGTACGAACCACTCGTACTCATTCAACGCTGTCCGTTCGCTTTCATGATCATTTTTCTATGAGAACCATTTCTATATTTTAATCCTGTTCTACTTTCCAATATAATTCTAAATATAACTACATTTTACTACTACTTGTCTTCTTCTAGGGTGAAAGGAAATATGGGATGAGAATTAGAAAATATGATCATAGGATGATGATTGTTTGTGAGTAAGTGGGTCGATGTAATCTTCGTCCTGTTTGAAGTAATGATTACAATACAATTGAAGCACGTAAAAAAATTGACAAAAGTAAGCGTGAAAACGAGATTACTATTCAATAAAAATTGATAGATGGACGCAACCAAATGAAAACTCAACAGCAACACGAGGAAAATCGCTGAAAGATGATAAGCAATAAATAACGATCAATCTCACTGTGAAGATAAACAAAAGCAATTTATACGCAAATATGTCAGAGATTGCAGATTTACAGCGCGAAAAGAAAGTCGAAGGGAAATCTCGCGGTTAAATGCAGCCCGGGGCTATACATCAACACGATAAACAAATAGGAAATTGAAACCGAATCGACGGGGGCCGATGATTTATTGACCTCATAAACAAAATATGAATTGATCATTCCATTTGGCATATTGGCTGTGGACCGCCAGGGGACTGAGCCGGCGTCATTAAATATCTCGTGAATCATATTTCTCTACGTAAACAATTGCATGTTCATTTATATTATATACTGTGGTAAAATACAATTCGGCTTGAAATGACAATACGTAATTGTGGCACTATGTAAATTGAAAATCTTAAATAAATTAAAAAAATTACGACTCGCTCATACTTGAACCGTCAGCGATTCGTGCTGTTGCTGTAACCAATTGAGCTACCGAGTCTGAATGAAATTTCGAGACATACGTTTTGAAAATTTTCTTAGGCAATGTTTTTCACTAAGCCTTCATTTTGGTAAAGTACAAAATAAATAATTGTATCGTAAATGAAATAAAATAGTTACTAAAATAATATAATACACTATTACAAATCCTAATAAGACAATTTTCAAATGAGTCGAGATATAATACTTGTTTATGTTAACAACAATTCTTGTATCGTAATTTACGAGACACATCAAAGCAAAATGGACACTGCATTTGATGTAGACATTAAGATATGAAATAAAGACGGTAAGTGCACTAAATAGCCTATATTCAGATATGCAAATATAGAACTTTAGTACAATGTCTGCCCAAAGTCGGACCTTTTGTGCTTCTTATCACATAATTCGGTCCATAAAATTTGACTGCTGACGGAAGGTTCTTAAAAGGTCGGTTACCGGTAGTCCGTTATGAGTTACATTTCATAGTTATGAGGGCACGGAGAGGAAGTCTATTTTTAGTAACGCCATCTGTTTGAACAGTCTTATCATTCTTTGGAGTTTTGCTATGAGATATGTAGCTTTATATATGCTAAAGCAAAAAGCTTTTAAAATTGAAGGGTGCTGTTTAAGATTTGTTTTATTGAGGGCTATTTAGACTTCTTCTATTGTTTTGTAAAACCACATTCATCCATAAGATACACAAGTAATTGCCTTAAAACATTCAAAATGTCTGGTGGTATGTTAAAATAATCCCACATCTATATTTCGGTCCTTACCTGGTTAAAACTATTTGTAAGTAAGTAGTAAGTGTATTTATTACACGCGTAAACTACAGACAATAAAGAAAATATATTTAGTTAACATACAATTTAAAACAATATTGCAGTGGGATGTAGGTATATCAGTTCCCTTCCTTGAATTTTTTAAGTACGACACAGTAAAAAAGCTGAAATTTCGGATTGCAACATAATTAGTTTTAATAGCTGTAGTACTGCATACTCACTGCATTTAAAATATATGACCCAGTTCCTTAAAATATGTACTCAGCTCTTGTTCCCTCTTGTATGAAGCTTTTTGAATGTATAAATTTCGTGAGTGGCTTTTTTATATTTCACATTACTCTCTTGGCTTGACCGAGCCTATGGACTATATTACTATTTTGGGCTACAAGAACTAAAGATTGTATCTGGCTTTTGATGCCATTTCGCAAAGTTATTAAGGTTTTAAGCTGTTTGCTAGTAAAATTGAACAATGTTTGATATTTCGGCATTACAGTGCTGGATGGCTCAAAACCCAAATAGAAAGCGTCAAGTGTGAATAATTTTTTTGTATAAGTTATCATTAATTCTTAAAATAATATGAACTCGTTTGATAAAAATAGTCTTTCATTTGATGAAGTGGCAAATGCTTACCTCCATGCACTCCGCAGAAGTCACCGATACAATCAGCATGCTGCACTTGGGCACCGGAGCACGTTTCTCCAACGCAAGACCTTCGCCTTGACTGCCTGCAGTCAGATCCACATTCAGACCACTCCGTCCAACTTCCCCATCGGCCGGACGAACCAGGAGATGCTGCAACAAAAAAAAGTTTTTTTTTTGAAAAATCATGAAAATAAAACCTTATTGCTATATTCATCAACGTACAAATATCAAAACTATGTCCAAACTTAACCGAGGTAAAACGTTGCATAATATTCCCGAAGGTTCAATGTTTAATATTCATAAGAGAATAAGCCTAATCAAGGCTTCTAACACATAGAAATAAGCCACAGTTCATTAAAATCAGTGGGATACCAAAATTTAAACGTTTATAAGTGGCAAAATCCCTTATCCCACAATATCATTTCGGTCTACATCAAAGATGAATTTAAATAAACACACGGTTTAAAACACGATATATATTAGTTAAACTTATTTGATTTTTTTTAACTACGGCCCGACGTTTCTATGTTTCTACGTTACTGCCAGACCTCTGTCTAAACATCAAAGCCACACATACCATAGAGTATATTGGTCTTTTAACATAAATATTTTGTCAACCATAGTCAGAATTTTTCACAAGTTTATACATATGTATGTTGTCTCTTGCTTGAGGAGTACAAAGTAAATAAATAAAGGCACATATCTCGAAACAATGCAACTTCAATACCAATTTCCGTCTCGAATTTACTGCAGCGTTTTTTACAATATCCCAACTGCTCAAATATTCTGCGCTACGGTTGGACCTACTCATTAAATATGTAGGTCTTCGTTTACGTTGTTATTACGCTATTTTTGGGAGATAAAAGCTTGTACATAATTCAATTTGCTTTCGTTCGGGTTGTAGGAACAATCATAATTGGGGACAGCGGACGATATTTCATCAAAAGAATATGTTGGGAAAATAAGGGTTTTAAATGGAGTTGTTCTAGGTTTATAAACAATTTAGAATGGCAATCCGCTTATCTATACTAATTTTGTAAAGCTGAAGAGTTTGTTTGGTTAAAAGCGCGAATCTCAGGAACTACTGGTTTGAATAGTTTTTTTGTGTTTAGGCTATAAAACATTACGCTGCGACCAACAGTGGGAAATGTGGAAAAAAGGGGGAATAATTTTTGGGGGTTTCCGTTGCGTGCGCTTCGAAAACGATGAACGTTTAAGATACCCAAAATTTGTGTGAAAGAAAGATTTCTCTTAAAATGATATAAAAAAATGTCCGCAATAGTATGTCCATCTTTGAAGATTAACTTGCAGGAACAACGCGATTAACGTCGTCGGTAAAAGCTATAATTTATAAAGATGAGAAGCAGGTTTGTGAAACAAATTTTGACGCCCAAGACGCGAAAGAAGTCGCTGACACAGCTAGACGTATTTATGGAGAATAAAATGTTATACGTTTTTGTTTTGACTTATTATAGTTTTTTAAATCGTGAGCTTTTTTCCTACCTACCTAACCTAATTGGCGTATTATAAGCATCACTTTAGGCTCATATAAAACGAATTCACAAGCTTATAAAAATATCTCAATAAGAACGAAATTGATCCGAGTCGGATAGCAATAGCATGCAATTTCATTAATACATCGGATCATGCGATCGGCCCATTTGCGAATTTGATACGACTCATGATAGCTGCCACAGTCTACGAAAGGAACAGTGGGGTAAACTTGTATAAATAAAACAGGACACACGTAGCCATTGATGTTGCGTCCCTTCTTGAAAGTAGTGTAAGATAACTCAAAACAAGCTTATTCTTATATTTATTTCTATCCTTCAGGCAAGTTCCTTTTTCTTCATTGAAAAAGGAAAAGCGCCCGTTTCACTCAGCGGTTTAATTTACAGTCATATAGTATCAACCTGTCTATAGTTTACGCGAGTAGGTATACATTTAAATAAAACACTTTAACGGTTTAAAAGCGATATATTAGTTAAACTTATTTGAAAATGATTTTTAACTTCGGCCCGACGTTTCGGATGCTTATGCAGCAGTTTATAAGGGAGGTCACCCCCGCCCCCCCGCGGGACGGGAGGGCTGGCGCCCCGTGACCGTTAAAGACTATAGACAGGTTTAAATAAAAACCTGTCTAAGTTTAGCGAGTAGGTGTACTATTATTATTTAATTATAAAACTTAATAGTTAAACTTAAGTTTATATACCGTGTTTTAAACCGTTAAAGTGTTCTATTTAAATAGTATCAACCTTCTGTGTCTTGGCTGTATGTAAAGAAAAGTGTCTAACCAAACTCCTATTTATCAATATTTACCTTCAACATAGAAGTTAGTTGAATTCCAAAATATGTCTTTACTATTTAATGTTACGCCACTATTAGTGCGTAGACTGTGATAACGAGTATTATATTATATTCTGTGGAAATATTAAAATATTTTAGGGCTATTTATACCAATAACAATGTAAAGCTTAGTAACGTATTGAATATTGTGCGGTAGCGTGTTCATGTTACCGCCATTTTGTTTATTGTATTTGATATTGATCAGAAGTAGTTTAATACCATTGTATGTTGTGGGCCACTTTGATTCAGTAGCGCAAATAGCTTATTACCAAACGGTTAGATAGCAAGTCACAATAAATCTCTCATGTTTGTATTTATAAGAACCCATTCTAAAATAAGAGTTTTTAGTATCTGCCTGGGACCACGGCTGCTGCAAAGCATCCGAAACGTCGGGCCAAAGTTAAAATCATTTTCAAATAAATAACTAATATATATCGCTTTTTAAAGCGTTATATAAAAGTTTTAGCATTTTTAGATTTGTTATAACGCACTGAGTAAAACAATTTTAACAGTTTGAAACGCGACATAAGTTAACTTATTTTTGACTGAGACCCGACTGTAGTTAAAGCTGTTGCGCAGCTTCCGAACATATTTCGCGTTTAAAAGTATTTTAATTGTATCAAATATATATTGTGTTATATACATTGTAGTGTAAAGCAAACAAGCGCAGAGTAAAAAGCCATTTGCCGTGAATAATTGCTCGAACAAAAAGTGAACGCAAGATAGTGTTGTGTAAATTGAAATTAAAATAAGGCACTTGCCCATAGTGGCGGATAAATCACGTGCTTCTTTATAAAACGAATAATAGGGTTCGCTCGCAATGGCGCCAGTTATAAGCGATACGCGATAACACTAACAAACACACAAAATTTTCTGATTTGGTCAGTTGTTAAAAAAGAAAGACAAGCGTAATGTTGACAACATTGAGAAATCTGGACTGAAACTGTAACGTAAATATTTAACAGTAGACGGTTGTTTTCCATTTAGCTAACTATTCATGAGAAGGAAAAAAATAAAAAATGGTAATAAAATATACAAATCAAGTAAAATTGTATCTCTATTTTGGCTCACTCACTAATGGTATGAAAATCGAAATTACGTCCGGATCACGCACCACCGACCACAGATGAAAATCTCGTGAATATCGCGCTTTTGGTTTCAGTCTGTGGATTGTTAACAGCCCTGTTTTGTTCAGATGATTAACGTGACCTGGGTATTTCCATCAAGTGAGCCACAATGCGTATCTGTCCGCCACCATCGTAAAAAAATAAAAAAATATGAACCCTTCTTTGAACATCCTCTGCCTCCTATGACTTGTACCACAGCCATCTATACATGTGGGTGTTACAACATATATTAACTACAACTGCGCATTTCTTATTAATTAATGCGCACGCATAAATCAGTCGAGCTTCGTTAGAACATGAAGGACTTTCACATTTTAAGTTTTTACGGCTCGAAGTAAATAAATTGTAATTACGCCCCACCTAATGGGACGGAACGAATTTTTGTGGAGCTTCGGAGCGGAAGTCTTGACAATATGATGAAGTGGGACACTGTTTTGCTTGTTCTGTTTTTAGTGAGGAATGTTTTATTGATATAAATTACTTTGTACTGTCGTTATACTATGGCTTTAGAAGCCGAGGTATTTAGAACCAACATAAGGATTTAGTAAACTCACTCTTATTAAAATTTAGTTTCATTTAAGTTAAATAAAAAATCGATTTTAGATTTTAAAAATCGACGACACGAGCAGGACTTGAATCGGCATCGATAGTGTTTCGTGTTGCTCTAAACAATTGAGCTACCGTGTCACACACGTGACTAGACGGTTCAAGTCCTGCCCATGTCCTTCCTTTTAATTTAGAATCGATTTTTAAGTTATATAATGCCATCATGTGGAAAATATTAATGTTTTCATTAAAGTTATGATTAACTTAAGTAATTTAGGTGTAAGTTTATAAGCAACGTCTTAAGTAGGCTCCATTACATACAAAACAAACTATTCACTAATTATAATATTGCTTTAAACTTTAACAAACAAATGTTATGACAGTTTTATTAAAAGACAATCTAAACTGAGCCAAATAAAGACATTATGAATCCTACAGATGTTGGTCGTTTTTCAAAGCCGTGTGTCGCTCGTGGCATGCAATTAGTGCGCACAATGACGAGCGCACGTTCGCACTGAAACTTCTTGATTAGGTTTTATTGTCTCCGCGGTTGGTCTAATACAAACTGTGTGCACACACGGGTCTTGAGAATGGGCGGCTTTTAAATAAACCTTGTATTTGACAGTAGAGGTCCGACAAGCATGGGGCTCGTTTGACGGAAGGTGAGATACATTTGCTTATCTTTCTAAATGAGATGTGCTGTCGATCTATTTTGGCTCTCAGAAATCCATCAAATTTTTGATATCTGTGGACGTATGCCATTGCGTATTTGTTTTTAAAAAATCACTAGATAATACTAAAATCTATAGAAAAAGGAGTGTTGACCACAGATTAAGATACTATGTAACAAAGAGGCTCGTTACAGTTTCTAAGGATAGGTCAATGAGAAATTATGTTTTTTTTTTCAATAATAGCTCTCTTTTAGCTATTGTTTTATATTCCTTTCATTTCGCAGGTTGAACTATATTTTCTTTCATTAGAAGTACTTTGTTCGTTGAGATGCATATAAAAAACTGTTATAAATTTATAATACTATTTCCGTTCGCGTTAATTAAATAGCGGTTGAGAACTTTTTAAAATGATATTTTTAAATTTTTTGTGTACGATACGACTTGCAAGAACGACGGGACGCGACCGATGTCGTAACGCCTTAAATTTATAAAGATATAGAAGTTTCCAAAAACACATTTAGAAAATAACTATTCTACGCGGATGAAATCGCTGACACAACTAGTTATGTATATAGAGAAAATGATATAGTCAGGTTTGTAGAAATTTTGAGACCTCAGACAGACTTAAGACAGCATTTTTGGTATGATACCATTTTGAATATTAGACAACAATTCTGAAACAATTTTTTGCTTCGCTAGTGTGAAAATGCAAGCGTAAAATGATATAGTCATTTTATTTCTTAATGTTGAATACGAAAAATCGAGCTTTGGGATATCTTTACTCGCGGTTCAGTGTGTTATGAATAACACTTCACTCCATCCGGCAGACGGGCGTCATTTTACAATCGCTATGAAATATTCCTCTCTTTGAAGTCAGCTGTTGTGAATGGAGATGTTTGGTGCGGTGCCTTTGACTCTGGGGCCCCGAATATTCGGATTATAAACATTATGTATCATTTGATATTGTGCATAGGTGGTCTTCAGCAAAAGGGATTTGCTAACAATTAAATTTCGGGTAATTAGTATAATGTAAACTGGGAGTATTTTAATAATTGTAATAATAATTTTTTTATAACTATAATAATTAAATTTAATATAATTAAAAACTATTTCAGTTCACTTATCAAAATTGACACAGTCGTGTTTGAATCCCGCCCGGATCTTTGAATTTGTTGTGTGCGTTTTTTTATTATACTACGTAGAAAATTTAAAACATGGAATAACTATCATATTTTCCGCTGTTTTAAATAAAATGTATTACTTGCTGTTGATAAAACAATACTTTTAAATATTTAAGAATTATTTGTTTCTTTTAATATTTCAACATACGATGGCCCCATAGATTCGTTAAGAACATATTGTAAATTTAGAATACTTTATGATTGCATAATCCTACAAATCTTTAGGGAATCTCTATTTTAGTTCATACACACGATATCTAGCGCAACAGGTGTTTTCCGTAATTATGGCTCCAATAAACATGAATACGCCCCTGTGTTAACGCCGTTTAATGTTTTACAGAATAAAACAGCGGGCTTTTTATGATCAGATCTGAAGATAAAACGTTAAATTGTGCAGCGCACGTGCTCATTACAACTGTAAGGGGTTCAGTTAAATGGTATTCATCTAAGAGAAAAGAGAATTCTTGAGATTTATGGAACTAGGGAGTTCATTTATATTAGCCAATTTTATTTAGGTTCAAGTAATTTTCTTAACTCTATTCATATAAAGCTATTTTTATTTTCGAGCTGTTAGGAAGTCGTTATTGAGGAATATAAAAAAAAGAAAACTGATAAATAATCGTGATTACATGTTAATTAAATATATTTAATGAATTTATCAAATGTTTCTTGAATAACAAGTAGGGGCTATTTTATTTTGCACTACTAAGAGAATACGATAGTGTTAAACCTAGTCTGTACTTACCAACCAACAACTGCTGGGTGTTATCGTAAATCTGCAGATCCATGTTGTATCCGTCTTCAAGGTTAGCATAATAAAGTGACAGTATAAAATTAATCGCTTAACTATTCATAATGTAAGTTATATCTAGGTGTTAATTGAGTTATAGTTTTCGGCTTTTTCCATCACTAGTGGACATCATCAGGTGTAAAGCGTCCCACGACTAAGTAATTGAAACTAAGCTTTAAGACTTCAAAATGGTCGCGAAAGCTCTATCCCAATTATTTTTGACATGAGCTTAAAAATAACGTAACACAAGCAAAGGAACAACCTTGTTTTTCATTCAGTATGATATTACTTTAATTTAAAATGTGTAATATACCTATATATAAATATAACTATATATATAATATATGCGTAACGTATCTTAAACTTATTTTAACTACGGCCCGACGTATCTATAAGGTATTTTAGTGTGTACGTTGCTTTAATATGTTTCACTTCTTTGAATTTATTATTCATAATTAATAATCAATACTACATTTAATAAAAAAATTATTTCTATTTGGTTCCTTCAATTTAATGTTGCGCAGAGAAAAAATAAATTACTTATTAATATACACTCAGCCATATAAGAGTAATAATGTCCAGACATTCCTTTGATTCCCTGTTTATTCCAGTCTCATAAATCACGCTGGCAAGAGGCATAAAGGAAGCATACTAATTATGAATTTATCTCCACCATCAAAGAAAACTAATGACGGACGTATTTGCTGGGAACATCCAATCTTGCAAAATAGTTGTTATAGAAGAAAAAGGTGCGTGAGTGAGTGACGATTTGTTATTGCTGTTCGGGATTTCGGTATCTTTTGTCAATATGACTCTTATGAAAAAATAGCTGCTAGTGTTTCGAGACTTATTATATTGTTATAAAAATGCCACGCAAAATATTAAGATTTCAATGTATGATATTTTTAATTGGCAATAGCTTACGCGAGTAGTATTGATTTGAATAAAATACTTTTAAGATCGGACCGAAGTTAAAGTAAATCAGAAATAAGATATCTACTATATTTCGCGTTTAAACTGTTAAAAGGGTTTTATTCATATAAAAAATAGCAGACCAATAATATGATTTATTGTATTTCATGAATGTCGTACGACGACGGACGTATTATTAATAAATAAAATAAATTTAATCAAACGTAAACCTTTTAAAGAGAAAAGTGACAAGGTAAATAATTGTTATTATAGTTACCGTTTTGACATAAGACACAATCTGACGTTTTCTGGACGCTCTGCCCCTGACATGGGGCTCCGCCGTGGAGGGGATGGGGCTCCGTGCACGTCCTTGTGCGACGCTGCCCCGACACACGCCCGTTGCAGCGACACTGCGTCCAGGGTCCCCATGCACTCCAACCACCATTCACTGCAACAAAGATGAATCTTTATGTAACTCTGGGTCGCTGCTCCAACGGAATAACTAATATAATAGTAATAGATGTGGAAAAACAACCAGGAGGTTCACTTGATAGAAGGAGAAATACCACAGCCATATAACATTCCAACAAGATGCGTTGTCGCCCTTTTTTGGATTATGTTCCACAGACTGAAACTGAAATGCAATTAAACGGTTTTCTCATCTGTGGATGATGGTTCGTGATCCGGACGGAACTTCAGTATTCCTACCACCAATTTAATATCCAGATTTCCTGGTGGAGGCAACATATTTCAGAAAAAACATAAATTGATTATAGAATCTTGTTGGAGCGATAGGATAAGACTATTAGCCATACCATTACTACCATAAGTGATTAGACAAAAGAGCCAGACGTTTGTTTGTTTTGTTCAGTTAATGCTCGTGGAAATTTCCTTCACTTGTCAGTCTATGAGAACTACTCACGTCAAAGATAAAAGACTAGAATAAAGTATAAAGTTATGTACCATACAAGTTACTATTTGTTCGCGAGTGTGTACTGGGCTTTACATGCATTTCATTAAAAGCACAAATAAAATTTAATAGCCCTCATTGAAGTATCTTTATACGTCCATCTTTAACGACACGAAAAAGACCGACTCGGGACTAGTCAACTAGCGGGAATAGAAATATGATTTCGTTATTTCGGTATCAACCACCCGCGACGTCGCGACGTAGATGTTAAATTTTAATTAACCGTATTTTAAAACTCTTTCGAGGGGGCAAGTCGTAAAGGGGACTGTAAAGTTTTATTTCCATAATAAGGTCTACCAAACAGAAGGCGATTCTATTCGTCGAATGTTCTTATTATCTTTTCCTTGTGTAGGTAGATGAAACAGACATTTTACCGCTTCTAAGACTCCTCTTGCGTTTATGGAACTTCGACCTACCATGTTGCCCAGTGGAGGTTGGTGGGCTTAAGCACTGCCGCCACGAGTAGTGACGATAACCCGGATTTTGGAGACAATGTGAATGCCTTACTTTCAAACTTTACACTAGAGCATCAGCAATATTTCGCACGACCTTTGAATCGAAACCGGAATCTTGCGATCTGCAAGATGCCCCTAGACCAATCAACAAGTCGATTAGTAATAGTAATTTTCTAAGACACAAATAAATGTATGCTGTGTGCTATTTGAATCTACTAACTGGTGGCGGTCTATAAATCATTGTACATAATTAACTTAGTTCTCAACATCATTTAACACAAAAAGTTTACACTTGATTGGTTTATTTATAGTGAAATAAAGGTTTATTTAAATAAAACAATTTTAACGGTATCGATTGCTAATTATATTAGTCTACTTATTTGTAACTACGACCTAGATTTTTGGATGTCTTGCAACAACCGTGGTTATTACGTGCCGAAGATAATCTTTCGAGTTTTGAAGCGTTAAATGCGTTTTATTTAATTATGTACTACTCGCGTGAACTACTACGTTTAAAAGGTTTTAATGAAATGCTCAAGGCACGGTTCAATTGTTTTCAAGTAAAAGTAATGCGTTTAATTATAAGTTTTTAACACGCACATGTTAGGTCTCATTTTATCTCATTCCGAATCAGGCGCTGGTCATGCTAGGTCGCGTGTTACCTAAATGACCTGGTCTTATTTAACTGCTTGTTAACGCTAGGTCACTTCAACTTGTAGTTAAAAGTTAAGTTCGGAATTTGAAAAGCCTTATAAGGTTTTTTATAGGTTTGATGTTAGCGATAGTGTTGTTACACTCCGCTGTTACCTCAGTTAAAGTTTAATTTAGTGAGTGATCACGAGTTCGACACTTGGAGGTTACGACAGAGCACGGAAGTCAGATCACTTAGGGGCCTCCAAAATAACCGAACGGAAAATGTATCTGTTGTCACGCCCCACACAAAGACACAGACAAACATACAATTGAGGACTTGTTCTTTGCTTAGACACTGTAAAAAGTGTAATTGGGTAAAGTTAGAATAAACAGAAGTAAAGTAACATCAGAATATTTAAAGTAACATGCTTGGATGAGACAGAAATCGAACTCTCGGCCCGTTGATTCACATTGGATCAATGAGCCTGATATATACCTTTACTTCAAGAAGTGACACATGGCAACCGCCCAAAAACGGGGAAAATTGCCTCCGACCATTAGCATAAGCGTCGCTCTCGAGATGTTTTCAAAAAAGCGTTATAACGGCCGATATACCCCAAATTACATGTAATGGAGATCGTTAGGGTTGCCACCGTCGTTATAAATTGTTATAAATTCCACATGCCACACGCTCGAATTAGGATTGATGACCTCTCCTGTTTTTCTGTTAATTTCCGAAGGAAATTGGCGGCTTTTGTTTATAAATCTAATAGGGTAGAAGCTTGTACTACTAATATACTGCTAAAACTGTTTAATGCTTAATGGTTAAAATTGTGAGTCTTATCGTGATAGTGAATTGTCGGTTCGAATCCCACGCGTCCAACATTTTTCTATTTAATTTATATTTTTTCTGAAACATGTTGGACTTTGGAAATCTGGATATTAAGTGGTGGTAGGAATATCGAATTTCTGTTCTGTTGAAAAAGCCGTGAAGTTTAATCTCGTTTCGTTTCCAAATATCCAAAGCCAGAATAAGTCGACAGCACGTCTATTTTTTGAGAGAGGACGGCTGGCAAGCTTTACTTGATGGTAGATGCCCAACCATATAACTATACAAGATGTATTGTGCATGTAACTTGTGTATACCCCTGTTAATGGGAACACTGAAAAGAGTAGGGCTACTCCCAAGCGACGAAACCTAGTATAGTAGTTCAGAAACTGTAGCAACATGCGACATAATGACGCACACAATAAACCACGCTCATCATATCACCCGAGAGATGAGCCAAGTTGGTATAATTGAAACTTTTAAGTGGTAACCCTAGTCGTATAATAAAAACTATGCGAACTTCGCCTTACTTAAGAACTAGAGTTGCGTACTATTTTGATAACTACGCTATGCTACCTTCGTATATTAGGGGCTCTACCTGTACTCCAAGGCATCATTCAAGACAAAATCATCTTCACAACCATTCATATTTGTTTTAAATACGTATCTAGTTAGTACCTCGCGAAACATTTGTAGCTACAAAGAATAGCTCTATCAAGGAGTTTATTTACCCCCCTGTCAGTTGAATGACGCCATATTTCCATCTATACTAATGTTATAAAGCTGAATAGTTTGTTTTAAACGCGCTCATCGCGAAATTATTTTTATGTTGAATAGACCATTTAGCGAAGAAGGCTTCAGGCTATATCGTGCTGCAACTAATGAGAGCAAAGAAACAATGGGAAATATATGAAACGGCGAAAATTATTCATCTTAGAGGGGATTCAAGAAATAGAAAAAAACATATATGAAATAATGATTACATATTCAATAATCACATGATCTTTAATTACTACTTGCAAGAACGACGTGGTCGCGGACGTAGATAACAGTTAGTCGGGGCTCGTTACGAATGAAATTCGAAGTGGGAAAGGTCGACAGCGCATTGTCCACTGTAGCCGTACTTTCTTACTTGTAATTCAAAGCTTTTTAAATTTATTAGGTTGATTCGTTTGTGTCCAACATCCGGCCACATGCGAAGAACTTAAATTGAAAGGCACAAAACCAATTTGAAATTAGCATATGCCGAATTATAATACAAATAACCATTTATTGGATAATGTGAAAAACTAAAGCATTTAGCCGAATTACCGGCATCGGTCGGATTGCCGGCCATTTGGTGTTCCCGTATAAAATTTGATTGGGTCATTACAGCTCGGGTTTAATACAAAACTATTAGAGAGCTCAAATAAAGTTATGGCTGACGACATATGTTGTGGTATTTTATGGGTAGAAGGGGATTTTTATACCGTGTGAAGGAATGTTGGTGGTCATACTGTTTTATAATGTTTATCGTTCGATGGAAAACATTTAAACAAAAATCGTTTTTACTTTAAGCATATGAATTAATCCAATATATTTTATATTTCTAAGGATGCCTTTATCTTTTAGGTACCTTTTTAAATAAATAAAAATAAACGGAGATTAACAAACTTCTGCAGAAGCGCCTAAGAAAAGAGAATTCTTGTTAGTGTAAAAATAACTTTTCTCTAATTTTGTTTCGGGAACTTCGTGTTAAATAATTCTACTACAACTAATATTAAGTTAGCATATCTACTTGTAATGTTTGCTACGTTTGGTTGCAGAGCGAGTTTTTTTTACATTTATGCTTTTTGAAAAAAATAATTGTGACATACATTGAAATTTACTACTGTAGTTTACGCGTTTAGTACACATTAAAATGAAACAGTTTTAACGGTAAGAACGCGGGCCGTAGTTAAATTAAAAAGTTATATTTCGTGTTTTAAACCGTTAAAAGTGTTTTATTTGAATAATTTGACATCGCTGTACCTGCGTTCATTTATATTGTATTTGTGCATTGATACAATATTAGTTCCGATAGCTCAAACTTAACTCATTCAGAGAAAGAAAATGCACTAGTACGCGGTTGCCTTTATGCGTTTAAAAAGTCCGTGTCTACGAAGCCTTATCATTAATAGGCTCCCAGAGAGGTTCGAAATCAATTAAGCGTGGTATTTGGTTTTAATGCTAATGGAGAGAGCGATGCTAGCAATCTTCCGGTATTCACGTAAAATCGATTTCTTTCGAGCTCGTAAAAGAAGGCCGAATGAATTTCCAAGTTATGGACACTTACTTGAAGAGATATTAGTGTGGTACTTAATGCATTTAGCCTGTTAAATCTATACATGGAACATTACTCATTTTCGTCTATATAAGTGGCCGAAAAATTTAATAAAACGATTTTTTAGTGTCGGTACTTAATGCATTTAGCCTGTTAACGACCAAAATTTTAAAAAAACCGAAAAAAAGGGAGTCTTAGTGTTTTACTCAAGACTTACGTGTAGACTACAGACAATATTTCGTGTATTTAGTCTACAATGAATAAAGAACAATAGACATATCAATAACTTATTTTATTCGATAACATTTCACCAGAAATTTATGAGTAAGGAACGTAACTAAAACTTTCTATCAAAAAAAAAAAATTACGCCATTGAAAACGAACTTTTATCAAACTTGCGTGACAGATAAAAATAAACGTTGGATAATTAACAGATTTATAATAAAACGGAAAGGACAGCCATACAAAATATTTTTGACATTTCCATACCGAGATGTACATGTTTTACAATCTATTCTCTACTTCCTCTTATTAGATAAATTCACGTTGATAAGTGTACTTATACAGACAGACAGACAAACGCAAATAATTTAAAATATGTTTAGCATATTTTGCGAATGTGAAGTAGTTTACATAGTTAGGCATAGTGTACTCTGTGGTATGTTACGGTCTCAACTGTCGAAATTGACAATCTGTCAGGTCGAGTCACAGTGATCTGTAAGTCAGTGGAGCGACTATAAAGATTCATGCTCGTGAACTCTCGGGGACGAGGCACTTGCGTGGCAACGTCGCCTGCGCACTGATAATAAGCCAGAGCACAATGGCGACCACGAGGCAGCGAATTCTTTTATAATTTCCGACATATAGTTGCTCAGAGCAACAGCATGGAACGCTGTGCATGCCGGTTTAAGTCCTGCCCGTGTCGCAATTTTTTTTCAAGCTAAAATAGAATTTTAATTTATATAATTCCATCATGTACAATAACATGTGAAAAATAATAAAAGTTTTCCGTGCTGTTGCCCTAACGAATTGAGCTACCATTTCCTACACGTCCACGTAACATTTTTTCAATGCAATGCAAACATGTGAAATTAAAGTTAAAGGTATAGCGATGTTTCAAAATACTGGCAACACTCAAGTTAAAATTTAAACGAGCCGTCAAATGAATTATTACACCCGGCCCACAATAGCACGTTATTTAACGCTCATTCCACCCTCCTTGTCCATAATAACCATACTTCATAAGATCAAAGGGCGATTCGCGATTGTAATTATGCGCAAGCGCATGGGAGAATCATTAGATCGCCCACGCCATCTCGCGGCGCCAAACTGATTGCTATCAACACGTCTTGACTTAGCACGTTCGAAATTTGATGTTATACTTGTAAATTAAGTTTTATGAAATAATAATAGAATAAGCTTTACTAGGAAATAAATTTAATAAGCCCCCAACAAAAGCCAGAGTGCATAGTTGGGGTCAGCGACAGCGAAATCGTCCGCGAGAATTGTTATTTTACGCATCCAAAATTCCTTTTGCAAACCCCTTCATTTTCATAAACTTAAGCTACCCACAAGTCGGCCACGTCCCTCTCCTTCGTTTTTGCAAGTTTGCAATCTTAAAAGATAGACATATAGCGTCGCGGACTTTTGGTTAGGTCTTTAAAGAGGATCATTCTTTCTTACATATTTTTTGGCTATCTCGAACCGTTTTTGCAGCGTACACCACGGAAACCCATAATGATGAATCATTTTCCCAATTTTTTAATATTTCTCGCTATATCTTCGCTTGAATTAGTCACTGGGCTATTTTATAGCCCCGAGACAAACGGAACTAGCCTTTCTCGATAAACCAACACAAAAATATTAATTTTTTAATTTGAACCAGTATTACTTGAATTAGAACTCTTCAGCTTTATATGTTAGTATAGATAAATAATCTGTTTAGAGATATGTATATCAGTTTTATTATTATACCTTACAATCTGGGCGATTAAAAGAATACTGTACATCAACGACATGTTTCTTATTAAATACTGTCTATAGTTTACGCGAGTAGTACACATTTAAATAAAACACTTTAACGGTTTTGCAGCAGCCATGGTCACGGGGGCTGCTGCAAAGCAAGCATCCGAAACGTCGGGCCGAAGTTAAAAATAATGTTCAAATAAGTTGAACTAATATATCGCGTTTTAAACCGTTAAAGTTTTTATTTAAATATTTCCTATTCATTAATATTATTTTTTGTATCAATCACTATTGTAATTTAAAATGGTTTGGAAAATCACTATAAATTTAATAGAATTTGTCTGTCAAAATGTTTTCTGGAAAATGCGGTTACGGTCAATAGGCCAAGCATAGCAATGCAATTGCAAAAAAATCGTGAAATATTCTCCTCTGACTTTATAGCCAAAGTTAAAATTCTATTTCTCTCAATCTCTTAGAAGAGACGGCTTCGATGTCGGTACAATATAGAGCTCCGGTTGCACGTTACTGAGAGGAAAATGCAATTACATATACGAAATCTGAACGTGAGTTAGCTTCGAAACATAACTTTGACTAACGGTGATAAATAGAATACGCGAGATGTTCGAAATAACGAACCAGTTTTCTAATTAGCTCAACGCTACTAACCGAGAGAACAATAGCGGTTAAGTTCAGCCGAAACCGCGGCGCAAACTTGTTTACCGAATTCCATAGACAAAGCTCTAATTGGAGCAGTTATTCCGGTTACACTCTGAGACCAATTAAGTTTATTAGAGGGTCAGCCCTTTGTAGGGGTTGCGTGATAATTGTTAAGCCAAGTTCTATTCGATAGTTACAAATTACAGAGCTGCGAGAGAGGGCGCTGAATTCAATTCCGTGTGTGCCCAAATTGGTTTGGATTCGAACATGTCAGAGATCGGGATTTTTTTGTCAAAAGATGACCAAGCCTTGCGATACTCAACCAGAATGCGTAATTCGAAAAACAAGAAAATGCAGGCAATGTTTTTCAGTGGTTTTTTTGTGTCATTATTACAGTCTTTTAGTATAAAAAAAATGTACTTACAATCAAACAGCATTATATAATAGTTAAATAAACAATTTCTCTTAAGTAAACAGGACTATGCATTATACGGATTACTAAATCCAAGTAAAAAAAAATAAGATAAGAAAATTGTAGGAGTTAGTATATCTTACATATTCCCTTTTTTGAATTTGCACAAAATATTCAAACAAACATCTACGACACCAAACTTTTGGTTGGTAGTAAAGTTCGCAGGATCGCGAGAGAAATATATTTTTAGACATAAGAATGACTTTTTTTTTTAAAAAAATAGAGTTAGTAAAGATTAACTAAGAAATATAAAAACTTTACAGTTTAAAACTAAGTGTGTAAGTTACCTTTAAAATCGTTAAAAGCGTTTTATTTCTCTATCTTTCTACTGTAACATACCATTTATTAAAAGCATTGTAATTAGTATTTCTTATGCAAGGCATACAAGGAATAATGAAGTAAAAAGTGTAGATACACTAAGTGCATATACCGCAAATACAGCGGAGTTTGCCTATTAGATAATACAAACAAAGGAATTAAAAGCTGCCTCAAAGCGGTGGCTTCCTTTTTCTTGTAATAATGCATTTTCCTGGCAGCTACTTCATTATTGCAGTACCATTTTAATCATGTTAACTGCTGTAATGGAAAAAAGCTATAAGAGTAGAAAATTAAATAATTATAACACTCACCGTAAACTGTGAGGGTGGCGGGCTCGGAAACTCTTTTTCCGGCGATGTTTTCCGCAACGCAACTATAGTTTGTCATGTCCTGTAACGAAAAAGGGTTGTTTACATCGAGTTTTCTCTATTTTTTACATTTGAGCGTCGCTTTGTTTATGCGAGTAGTACACATAGTAATAAAACATTTTAACGGTTTGAAACGCGAAAAATATTAAATTTTACTAACTATTTTACTTACTTACTACGTCCCGACGATTGCTGTCTAATAACAAGACATATGTAAACAAGAGACAGTAATTAGAAGGCAATGTAGTTGGTATGTGTTATTTATACATTTTAGCTATACTATATTTAATTGGGTACAGATTTTTTTTTTTGCTGTCAAGACTATGCTAGAGTACATCCAATATAACTTTACTACAATTTCGTTCGTCGACTCTTTTTGTATTCGTTAGCGCATCGCAAACAGCAGAATAAAATGTTATAAAAATTTAAAAACTTTTTTACCATACATCTAGTACCACGAAATGTGTTTCCTCTTTTGCAATAAAAACTAAAATAAAACGAACATAATAGCAGTAATACGAAAAGTTATAAAAGCACAGTAATCTTCAAAGAAAAAGACAACTTTTAAATATTAAGGAGAGCTAATTAAAAGCAGATATGAGAACAAAATAAAAGCAAAACCCGGGACGCGTCTCCATAAACATTTAATTAAGAAAATGGTCCAACACGCCGAGGTAATGTTACAGAGCGGTTGACACTGGTTGCAATTAATACATGTCTCGCCGCAAAGGGTAATTAGAGGAGTGCTTTGTAGGAAACGGGAGATGGTGTGATACATTTGCAATTCTACCGCGGAGCCGATCTACGGCCGCTGATTACATGGTAACGGTGCGATTCGATTGATGTTTGAAATGTGCGATGGAAGGACTACTGTCCGCCATTTTATAATTACAGCTCACCCACTAGTTCACTTTTATTTTAACTGGCTTTATCTATTGTTTTACTCGTCTCGTTAAATTGCTACGAGAAATAGGACAACAATGCAGGCAAGCATATTCATAATACGAATATTATATCATCGTATAAAATCTCTATTTATCACTTTAAACTTACTAAGTAACTACTACACTACTAGTTACTGTTAACTAAAACATAAGTGCTATGTTTTGTACAATAAGATTTTTTCATGATAGAAGAGGACAGAGATACATGGGGTTCACATGATGATAACCTGTTTCGGCATTGGATATTCGGAAATCTACAGACTGAACCCGAAACGTGATCTCGGTGATGTCTTCACAGGTTTTTCTTCTATGGACACAACATAATTTTGATATTCCTATCACCTATTTAATATCCAAATTTCCAAACAAGGTCCAATGTTTCAGAAAAAAAGTGTACAAATGTTTTAGAAAAAAGTTTGACCCAGTAAAGATTGAACCCACGGCCTGTTGATTATTACTAGCCATACACTGTAACAATTACACCAACGAGGCTCTTATTATAGCGTAGAGCAAAGCATTTTTACATTAAAAATTATATAAGTGAGGATTTGATATAGTGCGCTTTAGGTACATATTAAAAAAAATATGAATGCGCTCTCTGGAGGTCAAACTTTCATTGTTAAAATAATAGGAAACTGAATTACTTTAGCAAAAGTCGATCGCTAGTTAAACAATAAAACAGCAAACACTGTACTCCGCTACCGGAGAGTCCTCGAAAAAACTAATTTAATTACTCCTGAATATTCAACCGAGGACCACGTAATAAAGGCGCAGACCTCTTCAATTTCAGCTTCCTTGGGCAAAATGGCGACTGGCTCACTATTAATAACTGTCTCCGCTAATTAGTACGGAAATAAATATCGTTCGGTCTAACGCGAGGATAAATACGTCGATGCTTATCGCATCTGTAGTGAAGGGTGTGTCACATTTAGTATTATCAATGCGAGACATCTAAGACTCCACTTAAGACAAAGAGATATTTAAACCGCGCTCAAATGAAACAAATATGTTGATTTTTGCCTTCTGTCAAGTTAAGATACAAAATGTTATTGAGGCGACATTTTCAACGACAAGTACAAAAGATAATAATGATTTGAGCTGGGCCAAAACACGAAGCTTCCAGGAGGAGGAGGAAAACAAATGAAGTTCACATGATGGAATGTGATATATACCCCATATAATATCTAAACAATATGTACTATCGACTTATTTTAGCTTTGGATAGCCAGAAAAAATTATACGTTGCGTAAACGATTAAACTGCAAAATCATAAGTCATTATTACATTACTACGGTCATTTCATTCCATTTCCTTTGCTACAAAATTTCTTTAACAACTGCCAACTAATAATGCTGCTACTCATAAAATATTCCAGTCTTCGACTTACGACGGATATTCCATCATATGTTAAGAAACGGCGCAGTAATTGGCACTTTTGATGAATCAAGCGCATGACAAATGTACCACGATTTTGTAGGCTGTCAGAATCGGTGACAGAAAACGAGTAAGATAGAAATGACATATCACAGTCAGTCAAATAATAACGCCAAGAAGATACATTGAATGACCACGTGACTCATCAAAATGACTAATCGATTCCAATAATGTCGTTTCAGGATTTTCAGCCGTGTTACGTAAGCATGAAGTGACAGAATCCCTTGAATGTATTGCAGCTACTGGTCCTAAGAACGAGGAATATAAAGACCCAATTGTAGCACATGTTACGAACATAAAAGTCATTGTTTTAATTTGCGGTCTCATTAATTAGAATCTCATAAGTTTATTGCTCCATAAAGCCAAAATGAGATTGATGGAGATCGGTTGAGCGATAAAAATATAATGAAGATGGTGTTATCGTTGCCTTGAAATGATTGTATATTGAAGGTCTAGAGTGGACTATAAAAAACAATTTTTATTGGAAAAAAATACGACACGGCCGGCGTCCACAACGTCCCGTGCTGCTGCTGTAAACAATAGATTGTTGAATTTCTAGCTTGTAAAAAAAAGAAATCGTTAAAATGATTGTACCCTACAAAATCATTTCTTACGATGTTATGTTGTGTTGAATAAGCACAAGAAATTAAATTATACAAGTGGTACAACAAAACGCTAGAGGCGATCTCAATATTAATATAAAAGTACATGACACTCAAATTGAGACGATTGTTTATAGCTTAAAAAATCAAACACGCTGTTGTTTGTCGGTCCGGCCGTCCGCGCCCAAATTTAATAACGAAATGCAAATAAGACAACTTATGGAGATGTAACTGTTTAAGACACAATAGCATTCTCGAGCTTTGATCCAAGTCGGAATAAATTAGTTGTTCATTGAAAGCACAGAATACTGAACAAACCAGTAACTCAACGCGTTCGAAAAAATGTCTCGACTACTACAAGGGTTAATATCAAACGAGTCGACTACTATTTCAAACTGTTAATTTTCACCCTAAACGTGGGAATGTATGTTCATAGGTTAGTCACACTTTGTGGGTCTGTACCTAGTCCTTCTGATTTATACAGTTCTGTGATTGAAGAAATTTCATAGTTTTACTATGAATAAAACAATAGAAGAATGGAGCAAGTTGAGAGTTCGCTAAAGTATAATTAATCATGTTTGAGTATGAAAATTGTATTCAGTTTTTAATTGAAAAGTTACGAAACATTTAAGACGCAGAACGGCTAAAAAGATGACTCGGTAAAAAGTTGGGAGCGATGAAAACTTTCGGAATATGATGAATAACGACTGAGTTAAACTGAAACGCTTAACTAAGACATTTGTTTTCAATCTATTTATCCCACATCTGGGTAAAGAACTTACATAGAACCGAGTTTTGAGAGCTTAGAGGCCTACCACGCCTAGCTATGTGGTAGGTCTTGTGGAGGATAACTAGGAAAAAAAAAACAAAAGAACATTTCGGTCAAGGATCCGAATTCGGGGCCTCGTGATTTGTGTTTTGTGTATAAGCCATAAAATGTTACTATTAAAAAACTATGCTCCTGTTAGTCACATGTATATTTTATAAGTCTTCCTGAGATTAACTCGTCAATTCAAACAAACTCTTTAGCTTTATATAGAAGTACTGATTATCAGTCAATGATTGTAGATAAGTCTCTCAACGTACCTGTAAAGACGCTCTCGAGATTAATAGATTTCCTTCAGCAGATATAAGAACGTTGTGGTCCTGCTGCAGAGGAATGCCATTCTTCAGCCAGGATATCCTGGGTGGTGGTGCAGCGGGTGGGGGCGAGCAGCGCAATGATGCAGCTGAACCGGCCTCGACTGATGTAGATGCTGGTGATATGGCGAACTGCTTCTTGAGATCTGTTGGAGATATTCACGTATGCGATAAAGTGCCCTCACATAAAGTAAAATTTATCTTAATTAAAATTGTAGTTACTATTCGGTTAAAAAAAAACACGTTACTTAGTAACTTTTAGGTTTAAAATGCTAAATCTATTAGTTAAATTTACTGAAATATTATTTTAAATACGGCCCGACGTTTTGAGTGCTGTCTCCCGTGACCACGGCCGTTGCAAAGCATCCGACACGTCGGGAAGTTAAAATAGGTTTTAGTAGTATATTTTGCGCTTTAAACAGTTAAAGTGATTTATTTAAATATGTACTACTCGCGTAAACTACAGACAGTATTTATAAACTATTCAGTTGTTTTAACATTGTATAGGTACGCTTTTTAGCCCGCCCCCCTCGACAAAAAAATCCTGAGAAGCATCCTAAATATCAAGTAATTGTTAAAAATAATAGAATTGATAAAATTGGTACTTGAAACAGTAAAAGTTTTATTTAAATTTTTTATAATACTCGGTCTATAAAAAGTTTTAATGCGCCATATTATTTATCTGTGCAATTAAACCACTTAACTACTTGTTAATTATGTCCTCGCGTTAACATAAATCGCGACGTCCAATCCGAATCCGACAAGACACCGAAGAAAGACAGATGAAGCAAATGTCAGAGAAATATATAAAGCTTTGTTGCAAGTCAAAACAGATAAATTATAACAACACTTTGTTTTTGACTTGGGACACGCAAAAACATCTGCTGTAACGAAACAAATGGGCGATATTTCTTGCGATTTAACTGAATTATACCATAATATTACTCGTTCTAAATCTGTATGAAGTATAAACCAATGTCACTTTAAAAATAATCTAAATTATACAACTCATAGAGAAAAATTGAAGTAACTAGATATGAAGTACCTACAATACAGGCAGGCTTATCGCTATAGAGCGATTTCTTCAAGGCAATCTTATTTGAAAATATAAAAGATTATGCGAACTTGCAGGTTATGTATACAAATATTAAACATATCGTATGTTAATAAAAAAGTGGCCAATAGTTAAAAAACGACATCGATATGTAGGACACGGTAGCTTAATTGGTTACCAGTACGGAACACTCTAGATGCCGGTTCAAGTATTCGCCCGCGTGGGGCCGTAATTTTTTTCAATCTTAAATCGATTTCTAATTTGGACTAGGTCAGACAATTACACATAACTTGCGATAACAATCACGAGTAACATTTATTCAATTCTTAACTCTTTCGTAGCGTAAAAACATATAAGACATTAATATGCTTATAAGTAAAGTAAATAACTAATCTAATATATAAAATTCTCGTGTCACGGTGTTCGAACTTGAACTCCTCCGAAACGGCTTCGACCGATTTTCACCAAATTTGATATGTGTATTCAGTAGGTCTAGCAATAGGACAACATCGGTATTGTTCATCCCCCTAAGTGATAAGGGTTGTTCACCCTTAATTTTTTTTTTTATTTTAGACAAATTTTTTAATTTCTATTTTTTTATGATACAACATACAAAAATACATACAATCCTCAATTTTCACCCTTCTACGATCAACCCTTATTTTTTAATAGACATTTTAGTAAAATTATTTATATGGCAAAACAACGTTTGCCGGCTCAGCTAGTTTAGATATAAAAATGGGGGAATGTCGTTTTGTCCTACTGTGGAAACTGGAGACTTAATCTGCATCATGTACATATAACGTCTTATCTTCGAATAAGGAAGTATTAGTTCTATAATAAGTATTTACTACGAGTACTCGGATTAAACAGATAAGAAGGCGCCATATTAAAATACCTTATAACTACTATTTCAAGAGAAATAAAGTTTCAAGCGAAACTAACAGTTGGTTAGAGCAAAATGAACATTTTAACGCGAGTGCAAGCTATAAATCTGAGGAGAGTTCGCTCCATTACTCTCCCCAGCGTGATATGTTTGTTCTGCTGACAACCTTTGTGCCTCGTGATTGTTTTTCTAAAGTAAAGGTAGACTGTCTTTTCTCAAGTCCAAAGATTATACATAGGAGACGGCTTGTCTACAGTTACATTTTTTTGTTTGGAAAACTTACAGCTAGTACAGGATAGTCGACAAATTAGAAAGCCAATTAAAAGTTTTGGGTTTTAGATTCAGAAATATAAACAATTTACAAAAACCACATTAACTGTGTTTTTTTTATGATAGAGAAGGAAAGACAGGCATGGGTACTTGATGGTAGGTGGCAAAGGTAGCCATATAACATCTAAAGGAGAGTGCGACCTATTTTGACTTTGAATTTTATAAATCAATAGTCTGAAACTGAACCGAAACATTACAGCTCTGTTATCTGTGGACGTTGGTTCTTGACCCGGACGGAATTTTGATATTTCTACCAACCATTTTGATATCCACATTTTCAGACGAAGTCCAACATGTTTAAGAAAATCTATAGATTGATTAGTGAAATGTTATACCCGTTGATTATTGGACATACGTTGCTAAAAAAACAACGAGGCCGCGAAATTTTGGTGTAAAAGTGATTATAAGTAATGTATATAGTCATTAAATATTATTTTTTCTTTTCTATTGTGTTTTTTCCTTACTAAAAGTAGTGCAGTAATAAATATACTTAAGAAAGGCATACTATTAAGTTTAATATCGAAAATACAGCGTTTAATCACAACACAAATAACGGTTCAAAACGCAAAATATATAACTTAAGTTATTCCTAATAACGAGTAACGACCCGATGTATTGGGTGCTTACAGCAGCTAGAAGTAATACTGGGACCGTTTTAAGTGTTTAAGTTTACTACTCGCGAGAACTACACGTGACATCTCTTAATATTGTATCACGTTTTTTATTTGGAAAATTCTTTGACGCACCCCCGTATTTACGGATTGATGGATTACGACGTGTAATTAAATTGATTTGTAGCAGAATTTAAGATACATGCGACCTGCCTTCAAACGAATGAGGGATACATTGACTCTTTTTAGGGTTCCTTACAAAATAGATTGCTTACTTTTAGGGTTCCTGTACAAAGAGTATTTAGAGCTTCGCCACCACAATCGTTATAGTAAAAATGTTCATAATGCGCTGAGAAAACGATAAAAAAAAGTATTGAAGAATGATTCCTCCTAAAATGATCTAAAGAATGACCACGACTCATATATGCGTATCTTTTAAGATTAAATTGCATGAACGACGGGACGCGAACGTGGTTTGTAAAACAGTTGATGCTCAAAACAACTATTCTATGCGGACGAAGACTGGCACAGATAGTACTAGAAATAAGATATAAAAGATAGGCACACAACGGAACCCTTCGTGAGACAATCCGAATCACGCTTAACCGGTTTTTAATGACCTATAAGCTACCTTACTTCTTGCGAAAGCTCCATATAATTGGTATTAAAGCTTACGCGAAGCATGCTTCAAACATACCTCGGTCCTTATCCAGTGCACCATACCACCAGCTCGAAGAACGCGCCAAATCGCTCGTTAATTGTTTAATGAAGAACAATTATCGTGCCGCGACGAACGTCAGCTATTTCAGAATAATCGACGATCTTCCAACATTTTTTTTATTAGTTTTCATTGAGATTGACGTGAGAACGACTGTTACGCAATTTGGGAGCGGAAGCGATTAGAGGTTATTGTGTAATTGTTAAATTAGTTGGGGTTAGTTGAATAGTTTGCTAGTTTATCCTTAGTTCAAGCTCGTGACAGGAATGTTAGCAAATTATATACCAGTTACAAACAAATTTGGCAAGTAGACTGATAGATATTATTGTTTTTAAATAAAATCTTTTTAACTGTTTTAAACGCGAAGAATATGAATATATTTAATATGTTTCCATTAAGACAATGCTGAATATTTTTGAGTTTGATTTTTTGTTACTTGCTCATCATTGGTTATGAGAATCCTGGTCGATATTTTTCTTTCACAGTACCCATTTATTGTCCTAAATTTAAAATAGGAGTTGATTTAGATGTACGATGTACACATAAAATTAATGATTTTTAAAGCGTAATTTTTAACCGTTTCTCATGCTGTTCAGGAATTTTCGCCATACCGGCGCCGCGGTCCGGAAATGCAGACAAAGGTGGACATGGGACGTGTGCCGACGACGCATACAAATTCTGCGGATCCTTTGTGTAAATGTGTAAATAGGTAAATTATGTGAATGGAAAAACAATGTTCCTCGCGTCGTATTTGCCTTTAATGAAGTTCTTCATTTACATGTGTTTTATGACATCATCCTTATGGTTACATGACGAATATAAATAATAAAACATTAATAACATATACTGTACCTATATAACAAGACAACCTAAATATAAGTGGTTAATTTTTTTTAAGGGTATACCCACATTTTATATTATATTATATGTATTTAGTTTAATTTGCAGACGAATTGAATATTCTAATTACAACTTTTAAACCTAAATAATATAACATTAAGATTACCATATTTTTACTAAAAATTAAAATGATTCAAGCGTATAGGGCGACAATTCATTTTTGTTAAATGTGTTATCTAGCGTAATTTGCCTTCGATCATGTGAACAACACCATGCTTGGCTTTTTGTAAAAAAAATATATATTAATATCTACATCGGTTCGCTATCGCTCCTACTTTGGCCCACAATGACCTAACTATTGCCCAATCACAATAATAGATTCGCTAAAGGGCCAACTTTGTAAAGATATTATTATAATTGACATTTTGATCGGCTCTTTGACGTTTTTTGTTTGATCATAATTATTTGAATGTGATCCGAGTATGCGGGCAAAATGATGGCTCTTTTATTATGGATATTATAATTTGGGTTCGTATAAACTGGAGCATAGAAGACACTCATCCACTTGATATTATATACTCAATATGTTATGTTATGTCTGTTTTTAAATGGATAGCAGTAAGCATTTTATCTATATAGAAAAGTACTAAGCATTTTTATTTTCTTTCTGTCGTTTATTTTTTGGTGTAAATACAATTTCCGGGGAG